AACAGCCAGCCTGAGGGAGAATCCACACCTTGTCCACAACCGTGAATCTTCAGCATGCCCAGTGAACTTTGGGTGTGTATAGGAGTGTCAGTATCACACGAATGGGCTGTGATAAGAGTCTAATGTCAAGTTGGGGAATTCAAAGTCGCGCAAATCGCGGAAAACGACTGACTCAGATCGCAGAGGGACAAAGGGAACTGTTTCAGTTCATGGAGAGAGAGAGAGACAAGACGATGTGAAACGACGGAGCAATCGCACTGCATATCGTGTTGCCGGATATGAATTAGTGTGCTGCCGGACCTCTCGATTAAGCCTAGCTCCAATGAGCCCGTATTTCTAATTAAACGGGGAAGACGACAGAAAACTTATGTTCGTCTCGTACACCGAAAATCTGAGGTTATCTGGGAACGTGACCGGATCAAGTAGCGGCAGTATTCTGATGCAGACAAGCTACAGCAGTAGGCGCTGGTCACGCATACCATGTGATCATCGCTGAGGTGATCGAAGTTAACTAATGACTATGCCGTAGGCAATATGGTAGTTGAAGTAACTTTGTATACTCTCGCTTTCCCCGGAAGCCTTTGACTGGTCCCGACGGTGTATAACTGTACATTATTGTGTCAACTTCATTGGTATGAGCGATGTCACTAATTTATTGCTTTCATAGAGGATACAATCTGCGGGATTATGCACGTGAGCAAACTTCATCTTCAGAGGGATTACGCCTTATTGTGGCGAGTTCGGCACCTCTGTGGCCCAACGAGGTACAAGGCACGGTTCTTGACGAGCCGAAGAGTAGAGGTCATTGAAAAATCATTCTCCATATCACTTAGGTTTGGCTTCGGTTTGAGTTGGCGTTTGAAAATGAGGGAATAATCTATCCTAGCAGACGAGCATCCATTTCGCGATTCCCGCTACCTTGAAGTCAGATTATTATCATAACTGAGGGCTTTGGTTGAGAGCCCTAATTGTTTGTCTTTAATACCCGAACATCAAACTCTAATGAATAAACAAACTAAAGAAGAATTCATACAGTACCGATCATCGCGCTGGGTGCTAGGAACGCGATTTTCAGTGCATCGAGCGAAGTTAGTAATTAGCAAGATACCGCATAAACATTCCGTTTGGTTTAATTCTAATTTCCTTCAATAATCCCCTTCCTTTCCGTTTTGTAACATTCTCTCAAACAACCGATTCTCTAGCTCGCGAAGGCCATAATTTGAATGCGGATTATGGAGCCTCATTAACCCATGAACCTGGATGTCTTCAAAGTGAGAACTCTCATACGGATTCATCAATAAACTGATGTTGCGTATACAACAGACTTCCTAAGGGCCGATATTTATTGAGTATCGGGAACGTGAATTCTAGATTATAATATTATAAGCTATTCAAGCGCCGCTGGTTTGTCCTAGAGGTAGTTCCGTCGCACATCAAGAGACGGTGAAGCTCTCGAAGTAGGTATCGTACTGAACCACAAAACCGGAGTTTCAGTGAGAGATTGTACTCCCGTCAAAAGTCGTTTGCGTGGTAAGGCTTCAGACAGTACTCGAAAGGGAAGTGAAACCGAATGGTGTTTGATTAACTCGGCATATCAGAAATCACCAGCATATCCAACGAATCCACTGGGATTCGAACCCGGGCATAATGGCTCACAGATTACTTTTCACAAAGATATCAGTATGTTAAGTTGGGACGAAGACAGTCAACCTCGTCACTCAAGGTGCTGTCCTATCACCTTACCTTTTTCGACTTATATTAGCGACCTACCTGTTACTCCCCCTGTTCGACATTTTAAGTATGCTGATGATATCGCC